GACATGCAGAAATATATACATATATAGTTAGTTTACAGAGCAACAGGTTGTTTTAATTATAGTATGGGATAGTTAGTCAGTAATAAAGATTTATGTCTCTGATCTGTTTTGTTTTGCTTGTCTGTTTCATTGTAAAAAGGAAGAGCCAGTCGCGGGATTTTCGATTGTTTGTGAGGTAAACACGATTTAATTTTTGTTTGAATTCGTTTAATCACGTCTGTGTCTCCCACTGGAGCTGCCGCTGAACTGCGGATCTGATGTCTGACGGTACGTTTGAATAAGACTTTGCTCCACGCCGTAGTGTTATTCTATGTAACACAACGTAGTGTCACGTTAGAAAGTGAAGAGAAAGTGTTGTTTAAAAGTACCTGTGAACAACACGCATATCTAAGGAAGAGCCAGTCACCGGATTTTCGATTGTTTGTGAGGTAAACATGGTTTGATTTTTGTTTCAATTCGTTTATATCACATCTGTGTCTCCCACCAGAGCTACAGCTGGACTGTGGATCTCATGTCTCACTGTATGTTTGAATAAGACTTTGCCGCACGCCGGAGTGTTATTGTATGTAACACAACGTAGCGTCACGTTAGAAAGTGAATGACGATTGGTCATTTTACTGTCTGTCAGGTGCTGGCTTCACATCTGAGTGGCTTGTCTTAAAGAGGAAGCATAAATGCACGATATGGTGTCATAATCCATTTAGAAAAACATCGGACAAATGAAAAGACTTGTCAGCTAATGCCGATATTTTAAAAATTCCAAAAATCGGCCGATATATCGGCCGCGGCGATATATCGGTCGACCACTAATCTGAGCTAACTTTGTGATCTTTAGATTTAATCACCATTGGTAGCGCGGTTTATTGTAAAACTTTTTTTTTTTCCAGTTGGTCAGAACAAAAATGGCAGACATGTTACTTGCTTGTTCAGATGACATTTTCGGGTGAAATTTCTTATTTTGGACATACTTCCAAGACGTAGTATCTGTAATTCTGAAGTACAGTGAATATCCACACTGGTGTGTTGACTGACAGCCCACACATACACCACAAAACATTAGATTCATCCACGCTGAGGAGCCGTTGTCACAGTACTGTGTCGGAGAGAACAGGCATGGAGATGAAGATGACGTCTTTAATAACAGTCTTTAATAATTCCACAAATAGGTAAATCCATATATAGGAAGGCTGGTGACACACGTAGACGTTAACGAGACCCGACAAACTGAAACTGAACAGAAAGGAACTTAAATACACAGGCAAATGAGTCTAATGACAAGATGCAGGTGAACTAACTAAAGTAATCAAGGGGAAGCTAGGTCAACGGAAGTTAGACAGGGAAACAGAAACAGAAGGAAACACAAAAGTCCATAACTGTGACAGCCGTGCCGATGCACAAACCACGTAAAGAAGATAATTCCGTAAATAACTGCAGTTGCAGGTTTCAAACAGAGATGGTGACAAAGAGGCAAAACTTATGTATTACAGGTTTAATGGGGGGACAAAAAGTAATGTGACATTGCTGCAGCCTGGAATTGAACTGCTGGTTTCGTCTGGTCAGAGGAGAACTGGCCCCCCGACTGAGCCTGGTTTCTCCCAAGGTTTTTTCTCCATTCTGTCACCGATGGAGTTTTGGTTCCTTGCCACTGTCGCCTCTGGCTTGCTTAGTTGGGGACACTTCATTTCCAGCGATATCGTTGACTTGATTGCAAATGATTGCAAAGATACTATTTAAACTGAACTGAGCTGGATGATGACATCACTGAATTGAATGATGAACTGTCTTTAACTGAAAAATGAGTGTTTACTATTGTCATTTTGCATTATTGACACACTATTTTCCTAATTAATGCTGTTCAGTTGCTTTGACACAATCTGTATTGTTAAAAGCGCTATATAAATAAAGGTGACTTGACTTGACTTGACAAAAAGGTATGATTTTGTTAATTTTATCCATTGGAAAATAATTGGGGTCATGTAAGTGATCTCTAAATGACAGGTGATTGGAGGAAAGCGTTTTAAATATAAGAAGACTTGGTGACAACAGCTGAGAAGGAAAGTACATTTACATTTACATTTAGTCATTTTGCAGACGCTTTTATCCAAAGCGACTTACAATTTGGAGATACATAAAGCGATTCTTCTTAAAGAGGCAAACCGATACAGGAAGTGCTTGTAATACCAAGTTTCTAGACATTGTTCAAATAAGTACAAGCTAGAAAGAGAAGGAATAAATAAAGAGAGAGAGAAGTGTTTAATGTAGGTTTTTTGAGCAGTGGGGTTACCCGAGCCTGCCTGAATGCAGTGGGGAAGGTGCCTGTGAGGAGAGATGTGTTGATGATATTTGTGAGTGGTTGTAAAAGTGTAGGAGAGATTGCTTGGAGGAGGTGCGAGGGGATTGGATCTAGAGGGCATGTTGTAGGATGGCCTCTACAACATAGAGGCAAAGATTGCTTTGCCTCTAAAAGTATTTTTAGAGGCAAAGCAAGTTGTTGTATTGTGATGAGCAGTTACAAAGACGAAGCAGATCAGAAATGTCCATGAGGAAACACAGTAGTCCATTTTGATTTCATGGTCACTGTGACCTTTTCAGATTTACTGTAATTTTATCCTTAAAACTGGTATTACTCATGAACGTCACAGTCTGCAAGAGACGGCGATGGTCATTTGGCACAGAAGATGACGCATATGTGCTGTCTGGATGCATATTTAGAGATATAACACACACACACCCACTGCTTCAGTGACTGAGACGCATATATAAATACACACACACTTCTGCATGCACTGTGCCTGTGAAATTACACCCTTGTATTGTAGTCATCACCATCCACTTCCAACCTGTTCTTCTAGAGATGCAATTTGCAGTTTCACCTTGAGGAGAAACTTTGTGAGCACACTCCGGTTTCACTGTAAAAGCAGCGTGTCTGTTCAAAACCGTCCAAACAAAAGGTCAATCCTGATCTGTGTGTGCTGAATGAAAGGCCAGCAGGCTTTTTGGCAGGACGCAATATTGATGTATCTTTAGAATCTCAGGAGTGCGAAAAATCACTATTTTTTTAGTAGAAGTTTTATTTTGTTAAATTCATACGAAAGTGGAAAGAACACATTTAAGTTATCATACAAATAATCTTCCCCTCATCCATTGCTCTCAAATCTCATTGGCAATTCTGTATATTCAAGCTTACATACATAAGTACAATCAAAAGTAAAATAAATTAATTAAAAATTTAGAAAGCTGAGGCAGGTTACATAGATTTAAGCAGTTAATAATGTAGCAAAAACATATCAAAAGTTGTTTATTTTTATGTCTCCATTTATGTCTTAATGTATTTCAAATATAGACATCATATTTGAGCAAGTGATTTAATTTTTATCTAGTTTCAAGGTGCTTACATGAACAATTATCAGTTCATTAAGAAATATTCCAGGTGTTACTTTTTCCCATGTTGAATTGTAATATTTTAACTTATTTATTTATTCATTGATTGATTTATTTAATTTAATTTTATTATTGGTAATAATTTTATATGTCTTCAATATCACTTTCCATCATGTTGTCTCTATCCCTTTCGTCTCTTTAACTAACAAAAGCCAGTTCTTTAATGACATCATCCTCCAGGAAGTGACAATTTTATTTTGAAAAGAACAGCAAAAACAAGTATTAGCAATGGATTTGATGGTGGCTTTCTGTGATGTTTTGTGGTATTAGTTTGTTTGTCTGACTTTAAAATCGATTTGAATGTTGGTCTGATAATATCAAAATTTCAAAAAACATCCGAATGAACATCAAGTTGACATGCTCATGTAATATTTCCTCTCAGTTGCTCGTTAAACAATGACAAAATGTATCTCTTAGTACCATCCAGTTCATTTTCTTGTCATTGTGTAAAAAAATCATGATTTAATACAAACATTTAAGTGCTTGAGCTTAACCAGAGTCTGGTTTACCCTTATATATTTTATTCATTTTAAGCATAAGCATATTCATTGTTGAATTGACCAAATTCAGAATGAGCAGGAATGATCCAGGTGTGTTATGTGAAATCATGTGACTCGTTACACTGAATGCACATATATTTTTTTTTCTGTTGGTAAAGCCCTCTCTTTGTTGATTGAAAATGTAAAAAATAAATAAATGCAAAAATGGGTTATGCAACAACTCCATAAGAAAGAAAAAAGAGTTTGAGACAGTGTCAGTGGAGTGAAAGCATGGTGGATGTTAAAGTGCTTTTCCTGTGAGGCTGATGAGTCACTGATAGAATGATGGCATGTGTCATATGTAGGCGCTAGACGCCACACAGATGGAGCGGATGAGTGTCTCGCTCGCTCTCATTTCTTACCATTTATTTAAAGAGACAAAGACAGTCTGACTGTCAGCCCAGACTTAACACTGGGCAACAGCATTCTTGATTAGGGAAAATTATGTCTCACTTGACATTTTGTATAGTGTCTTGAAATTATTAATAATGTGAACTAAAGGAATGCTTTACCTGAAAATGAATATTTCTGTCATTTACTCATTCTCATGTTGTTCTAAATTGGTATCATTATTATTATGTTTTATTGTTATTCTGTGAAACACAAAAGGAGATGTTTTGAAAAATGTCAAGAGCTTCTGTTTCACATACAGTGGTGATGAAGTGGATCGTGGTCTATACTTAAGAGCTCCAAAAAACACCACAAAGTGTCCATACAACTCATGCGATATAATCAAGTCTTCGGAAGTCATGCATTTACTTTGCATTAGGATCAGACTGAAACTGAAGTCTCTAATCACTCATCACAATTAAAAGCACTGTTTTTCAACTGAATACAAGAGCAAAGCTCTGTCAGAGGTGAAGATTATCAGTGGATAATGATTATAGTGAATTAAGAGCATTAATTTCTACTTTTGATGATCTTGTTAAATAGCTTACCTGTAAAAATTACATGCAATGCTGTAGTTTGGAAAACAGAGTCTTGGAAATTCTTCCTAACATCTCCTTTTGTGTTTCACAGAAGAAAGAAAATATGAAGTCGAAACAACATGAGGGTGAGTAACTGGTGACAAAAAGTTTATTTTTTGGGTGAACCATTCCTTTAAATGCTCATAAATAACAAAACAAACATGATAGTCACATGAACTAATTGCACTTTCGACAAAAATGTCCTTGCCGTTTTTCTTGTAATTTATTTTTTTGTGCATTTTTTTAAATATATGAATACCAACATTTTGTAATAAATGTTGCACTTTTGACAGGTTTGTACAGATAAAAGCATATTCAAGATGAAAAGGTAGCAGGTATTTTGATTCGTCTTTGTGAAAAACAGTATTCACTTTTTCCATCATAGAATAAAAACAGAAAATTTTTCCTACTGCTTAGTCCCATAGAATTCATAGAAACATTTATGAATCCTTGCAGATTTGACAACCTCTGTTTTAAATTTGAGAAAAACAATCCATTATTGCAGCTCATTATGCAGAAAGAGATTTCCGTATTTCAATAATGGAATATAATTTCTGCTTTTCTACGGATTCCACTACAGTCATTTCACTCCCATCACTGGAAGTGGGAAAATGTAAGTTTTTTTTAATTACCAGCAATTAGTCATGAATCGCAGGCTGTTATCTCTGGCTCTCAGAATCAAAGACGTGTTTTCTTTTTTTTTTAATCAGACTAAAAAATTCACCAAAGTCAAGTGACATCCATTAATGTCTCAATGAGCGAGTCGATGAGTTTCTGTTCTCAGTTTAAGTGGTTTTGTGTTTATATGATTCATATGCAGTATTGCTCTTCATACACATCTAAAAAATAAAGAGCCTGAAGCACACTGGAATGAATCTGTTCGAGAGAGTAATCGGTCAAGTGAGTGCAATAATGTTATTCTCACTTCAGTAAAATTACCAAATCAAGTCAAGTCTAAAAAGTAGGACAGATTGATCTTATCTATCAGAAACGGATCTATCTATCTATCTATCTATCTATCCGTCCGTCCGTCCGTCCGTCCGTCCGTCCGTCCTTCCGTCATTGTTTTTTTTATCTAATTGTATCTAGTGATAAAAAAGCAGTTGCAAATGTTGTTCAAAATACACATACTCATCTTTGCACCAATAAAAAACACTTTGTTTTACTACCAAATGATTATGTAATATCTAATTATTATTAATATTTAATTTACACTGGAAAGTTTTCTGCAACATCTCGCGAGATCTCGGCAGAAAGTCTCACGTTTTATTTCCAGAACATGATGCATGATGGGATACGCTTAGCCTTGAATACCGCTTCGGAGATAATTTAGTGTGCCTTAAGGGCACTGCACTTAGTGCATTTTTAAGACCTGTCTTGCACACTTACTTCCTGTTGCGTGCACGCACACTGAAGTGTCCAAGATTTCTATCTTCGATCTTCTATCTCTACCTATCGTTCTATATTTCTGTCTACCTTTCTGTCTGTCTTTCTGTCGTTCTGCCTATCCATCCATCCATCTATGATTCTCTTTAAAGTCATTCTTTGATCTATTCTACCACATTCCTTTAATAGCTCTATGCTCAACAGTTGTCTGATATGTTTATATTTTTATTTATTATTCTCTTATATTTTTGCTCTGAGTGCAAAACATCGTCAGCAATATGCTAATTAATTTTAATCAAATTCACTCAATTAATCTCAAGCAAAGAATCATGAAGGTTAATCGTATCAACTCAGATCCATCTCCTCGTATCATTTCACTCGGGTTGGTTGCTGTCGTGTGATGGAATTCTGTGCCCATCCCATGTCACTATGTCATTGTTGTGTCTCCCCCTCCCCTCACATGACCTTGTGACCTTTGAGCTCTTTCATGATGTCACACCATAGGACTCTGTGACCTCTGACCCCAGGTCCTCAGTGCTTGCACTCACGGACAGTAGGAACACAGGGTCTTCTGCACGCTCCGAGTGCACACTCACACACATGAGAACAGGGGGAAGGGTGGGAGAAAACCCGCAAGTATTGATACTCCTCAGCAACTGAGACTTGAATATCAAAAATGCGGCCTGCTCTTTGTTTGGCTGACAAATGCACTACAATTGATTAGAAGCTGAATACTAAGAGGAGCATCAGTCTTGAGCGAAGGCTTTCTTCTTCCCATGCTTTCAGAGTTCGAATGGTCATGCCAAGCGAAGGGTCGGTCAGTATGTGAGAATACACCACACTTAATTAATGGAGATGTGCCTGTGGTTCACAACATACTTAAAGGAATAGTGTGGGTTATTTTCGACTTAATGTCTATGGGTGCCATCTGTGCCATGCTGTCGCTTACCTCAAACAATAATTTGGTCTCATCCCTCAGTGAACAGGCGACACGTTTACAGTAAAACATAAGTGAAGGAAGCTTAGCAGGAAAGCTGGAAGCACATTGCATCTTTATCATACTGTTTTAAAAGTATAAAAATAATAATAATTTTCAAATTTATTCACATAGCACTTTTCACAATACACAATTGTTTCAAAGCAGCTTTACAGCAAATCATGATCTTGATGTTTACAATATCTTAATATTCTCATGACTTATAGTCACATTTAGCAGATTAGAGCTGGACAATAGTATAGTTACATTTTGCGACGATACAAGCAATCAAGCAGTTCAGATTTGCCCTATGCAAGTATACTGTATGTATGCGGATAAAGTTGGATATACTTATATATCCAACTTTATATAAAGAGCTGGGCGATAATATTTGTGACTACTGAAACAAACACACAGCTGAGATTTGCTATTTCACGAGTTCACACTAACATATAATGTGATTAAGCAATTAGTAGCATATTTGGCGTGCTGTCCAGAGGGAGGGCTCCGAGCTCGGGTTAAAGCCCGAACCCAGAGAACTCCCCCCCCCCATCCCAAGACTGGGAGGAAATTAGAATAGTAGTGAGGTGTTGGGGTGGAGGCGGGATGCTGGAAAACTTTCGTGGAACTGAGGTAAGTTGGCTGTATATATACACACGTATGTGCTTGTTAAGGTGATTAGCTGACAAGCTCCACCTAGGCCAGACTGATTGATTATCTGATCGTGCTCCTCCCGAACCTTGTTAATAAAACATAATTTCACGAGTTCACACTAACATATAATGTGATTAAGCAATTAGTAGCATATTTGGCATGCTGTCCAGAGGGAGGGCTCCGAGAGGATGTCGGGGAAGTTGGAAGTCTCGCCGGTGGAGGCGAGGTAAAGCCTCGGTGTTGTGGAAAGCGTGTGGCTGGTCGAGCAGAGGCCGCGATGAAGCTCGGCGGTGGTGACTGGCGGAAAAGGAGTGAGCCTAGGGCTGGCAGATTGGGACGGAGGATACGAAAGATCCCCAGTACAGGTCTCATCGTCGTACGGAAAAAGTTGAGTCTGTGATATAATGGCTAAAGGAGCAAAACCGAATGCTGGAAAACTTTCGTGGAACTGAGGTAAGTTGGCTGTATATATACACGTATGTGCTTGTTAAGGTGATTAGCTGACGAGCTCCACCTGGGCCAGACTGATTGATTATCTGATCGTGCTCCTCCCGAACCTTGTTAATAAAACATCATATAGTATAAAGTAAAATAATGAAATTGATTTGTATAGCACTTTTCACAATACACATTATTTCAAAGCAGCTTTACAGAAAATTACAATGATAATGCTTAAAATATCTTAATATCTTCATACAGTATAATCACATTTACATGTGATATATCCAACTTTTAATATCTTGAAAAGGATCTAATATCTTACAACTTTTAATTGCTAGTTTAGATTACATTTTTAGTTTAGTTTACATACAGTGTATAGTACTATAGTACATTTTTATTGCTGGGCAATAATATAGTTTACAAGCATATAGTACATACTGCTTAAAGTGCCCCTATTATGCCATTTCCAATATTGCCTTTCATGCAGTGTGTAATGTAGCTGTATGTGAATGTAAATTATCTGCAAAGTTGTAAAGCTGAAAGTGCACGATAAATAAAGTTATTGTCTCCCAAAATAAAGAATCGACTCTGAACAGCTGAAACGAGTCGTTAGTAATTCGAATCCCACTTGTGTGACGGCTACACTTCACGGGGGAAAAGCATTTGGGTGGTTGACATATAAGCCTGAAAACATTTTTTTTTAACTTCAAATATTAGGCATAAAAAATATTGAGCTGTGTTGTACTGACTCTTGAATTTCCCAAAAAATATGTGGTCTTTTAGATTTTGTATTGGAAATTGGATTTATTTACCAATTTGTTGTGGACCAGCTGCTCTACTGAATCACAACCTGTATGTATGATAAATAATAGATTTTTACATTTTCTATAGAGCGTTCAAAATATACAACTATTGAAATCGGCGTATCGTTTCCGACTCGATTAGTGCTAATGAGTTGTGGATGTTTTTCATCTTAATGCTAAGTCTTTTATCTTTCTTCACTGACTAATTAACAGTTGAATTGGAAATTATAATTTGGTGGATGATTCAGATATTCAGGTTCCTGTAGGTCTGATCAGTTCATTTTAATGATGATTTTATACTCTTTTGTAAGTAGATCTCATCTCTTCAAAGGGAACGTTTCAGACAGACTGAATAATGTACAATTTTTTATAAAGTTGACAGTTTGTTTATTTCTGTTATTTTAAAGGGGTCCTATTATGCTCTTTTACAAAGTCTTAATTTTGTTTTGGGGGTGTACTAGAACATGCTCTCATGCTTGGTGGTTCGAAAAACACATTATTTTTCACATAATTTACATTATTAAAATACCTTTCTCTCCAGCCTGGCACAAACGGCTCAATTAGTTCCGGCTTTGATGACGGTCCGCCTTCCAAAAAACAAAATGTGTTGTGATTGGTTAGCCGTCCCAGTGCGTTGTGATTGGCAA